ACCATGGGTGTCTCGGCCCTCCTGGAGGTTCTGAGTGCTGCCTCAGTTTCCCCCTTGTGGGGTTCCCGGGGATGGGGATGCTGGCACGGCTGCCACTCTGCCAGCAAAGCTCACGCTGGCATCCCTGAGCTCACTGCCACAAAGCCGAGTCCAGCCTTTTGGGCTCGATTTCTTTGTGCTCAGTGCAAGAAGGAGCATCAGCTCGGCTCTGCCCTTTGTACCTGCAGGTTTTTCCCCTCTGAGAACGGGGATGGATTTAAAAATCTTATTAATCATGGCAGAGGAAGATGGTAGGGCTTTCTGGAGCACGCCGGGAGTGAGCTGTGCCGCGTACACACGCTGGGCAAATAAGCACCTTGCATGAGACATATTTAAAATAAATCTCATTGTGTCCTCTAGCACGGCCAGGAAAAATGCCTGAGACTCCTACAACCGATGTGCCGCGGCGCAGGAGCCGCCTCCATCACGCCGAGCCTTTCCTTATTCCCATCATTTAATCAGCAAAACAGGAACAAAGAGACCCAAAAAAACATTGAAAGAAACGGAGAAAGGATTCCATGAGTCATTCACCCCCCATTGAAAAGCTGCGAAAAAATGAATCGCGGCCCAAAAACCGCCGCTCCCCCGGTAGCCCCGAGGGGCTCAGCCCGCGCCCTGCTTTTGGGGGACCGTGGGGCTGGGGGGCTGCGGGGCCGGGCGGGGTTCGGTGCCCGGGGAGCGGCGGGGCCGGGGCTGCGGGGGTTGGAGCCGGGCTTGCGGCACGGGCGGGGGGGCAGCAGGTGCAGGAGGCAGCGGGGAGCGGGCACGGCTCTGCGGGGGCCCACGGGGCCGGTGTGGCCCCCCCGGGTCCTGCTCCCACCTGGTCCTACCCCCCCTCCCTCCCGGCACCCTCCGCTGCCCGCAGCTCCAGCCCAGCCCCGCCGGCTGCTGCCTTTTCCCGGTCCTTCCCCATCCCCACCCGCCGCCTTCCGCGCTCCATCCCCGCTGCATCCCCGTGTCCTGCCCTTCCCGCTTCATCCCCCGCTCATCTCCCGCTCTGACCCTGCTCTTTCCCGCTCCATCCCCGCTCCATCCGCCGCCCTTCCCCGCTCCCTCCCCGGTGCGCAGCCCCGGCCCCGCTCACCCCCCGCCGGCGCTCCGGTACCGACTGGGCGCGGGCAGGACGCGGCGCTCCGGTGCCGGCCCGGCCCCGCCGTGCGCTCCCGGTCCGGCCGCTCCCG